TTAAATGAATTTGAAAATAAATAGTGGGTCTATTAATCATTACATACAAAGTAATCATTATATATAAAAGAAAGTCGTGTTAGTTACACTTTTTATAACTAAAGAACGGCTGTACGGGTTATGCTGAAAATTGGCGGAGACATAGCTTAGAACCAGCGAAAGGACATAGGATACTTTTCAAGTTATCAAAAAAAATTATAAAATCCAAAATCTTCATATTTATTGCCTTAAATGAGGGCGGAACAGAGTTCGCTCGGTCAGCTATACATTTCTTATTTTTGAAACTAAAGCAGGCGAAGTTGCGGGCAAAAACTAGTTGTAATATAAATACATACTTTGTTTTCTTATAATCGTAATGCCTCATATTAAATTTATTATACTGTATACATAATATTATATTGTTTAAACAAAGGACTACCGTTGCTATGAAAGATAAATGAATATTTTTCGTTGTTTTGACGTTACATAAAATCTTTTTATACCGTAATAGTAATCGTCCATCTCAATCGTTGTTCCTAATCTTGAATCCGGGTTTTGGGCGTTGGATATTACCTGTTATAGGAAAATTAATGAGCTTAACTCGCCACAGATACCCACATTATTTGAGCAACGCAATATAAGATTTTTAGATACGTAGTTTTCTTTCAATTACATAATATTTCACTGGCATAATCTAGATTAGTGTAATTCCTTCACAATTTTACCTTTAGAACAAAAATATCATTCAATTTTAAGTTAATAACAATAAATATAAGAATGAACGTTATTTTAAGACTTAATAATGTACCGAAGTATCGGTTATTATTAAAACAAAAATAAAATTCTCATAAGTAAAATAAAATATGCATACAATAGGAAGAAATCGTCGATAAAACGTTATCTCTATGCATTAGTGTGTATTGTCTCGAATAAGAATTAGATTCGTACGTTGTTTCTTAATAAAATCCAAGCTTTTGTCATTAAAATGTAAGCGTTAGCGAGAATACTATAATATACAAACATACTAAGAAATCTGATATTTCAAAATTAATATTATATACCATTGAATTTAACTGCAGTATATGAAAATAAAAATATGTTAATAAATCTATGTTGTTCGTACATATTAAATAAAATGTTTAGTATGGAGTAGGGTGTGGTCCAAATGAAAGCTGTTGGCTCCGCTATCACTGTGGCCGTACCTCGTCTGGCGTCGGTAAAGGCATTTATTCAGGCTTCGTCGGAGCATGAGTTAAATGACATAGCTGCCTGCCATTGTGACACTAGGCCATTGTTGTCAACTATGAGAATGTTATAAATATAAGCAATTTTCACTTTCTTTTCTGTTTTCGGAAAACCGATTTCACGTTTGTCGGTTGGTTGGCTTCGATAGAAAGTTTTACGACGGTCAAATTTAAACGCGAACTATAAAATTTAAAAGAAATATGCCTTTTCTTGCACAGATTCTAAAGTATTCACCAAATCATTTTTGCAAATTAACATATCTGGTATTTATGAAAATAACAAGAATCAACTTACCTACAACAAATCTTCCAAATTTTCTATCAATCTATAATTGTAAGTTATAAAAATTACATTTAAACCTAGCCAAAACATAAAAATAGGTTATAAAAGTAATGAGCGTATCGTGTGATATGAAATTCGAATTCTAGGGCCTTTAAACCTGGCGTTCATACAAAAATACGTTCATAAACCATAAGTATAGCTATCGGTCAGTAATGCAGCATTTCCATAATACCAATAGTGGTTGCAATCCCCCCTTAACCCACCCGGGGGTTGCCCCCCCTCCTCGGCGCCCGGACATTTCCGGAGGAGGCGGCGCGTGACGATCAAAAGTCACGCAGATAGATGGTACAAGTTATAAGCGGTAGCGATTTAATATATAACTACTAAATTAGTGGTTTTTTCCTTCGATATTTTTTTGCTAAATATATGTAAAGAGTCTTATTGCTTGTTAAGAAGTAGATAAATGAACTCGTTTTAAATATAGTATACATTTTTCTTCGTTCAATAACTCAAAATAAGAAAATAATCATTAGTATAAAGTTTGAATTTTTATTCCGTTGATTATTTTCATAGCTCCGAGTGTTTATATATAATAACGTTATTAAAAATCGTTTATAATCTTGGACAGATCACGGTTCGAAAACGAAGTACCTACATACAAATAACTTTAAACTCAGGTTGCTGTTCATTCTACTTTATAGCTGGTGGTATTTTTAAGAAATTTTCTTAACATTAAATATTAAAAGGATACGGAATAATACATAATTTTCATCGCAGCTCTCTAATAGCTGTTTTAATAACGCTATAAAAACATAACACGACTTAGTTAACTGACAAGGGGGTAAAATAATGTACCTAAATATATCTATCAAACAAAAACATATTAGAGGAAAGGCTTAATTGACTTGTTCGTGTTTTAAGCAGACTTAGATAGTTCTAAATTTTATATACTCTGTAATAAAAGTGCTTAAATTTTCCGTTGAACTATAATGATAAGTCTTTACAAGCTGATGAAGTCAAAGATCAGATCTTTATGAGTTACCCTAATTGCTCTGCCTCAAGTATAGTACATAAAAATTATACCTTACTGCCGTAATTTGAGTGATATTTAAGTGTATCCTGTGCGTGTGTTTGTTAAGTGTAGGTTAATTTTAATATAATTCGATAAATTGTGAAGCAATACCTATTAAAATAGTCTTTTGTTGATAATATTTAAACTTGTTGATGTGGTAGAAAGACGTAATAGTAATTATACCTAGGATTTTTTGTTGTTTCAAATATATTTATTTTTATATAGATAACTAGAATTTCATTATTATTATTGCGTTGAATGTTACATGAGAATATAATTTAAGTAAAACACAAAGTGAACGTAATTCGTTCGGTAGCGAAGGTGTAATCTAGCGATATCAGGATTGGCCCTTCGCGTGCGTTCGACGCCATTAGCATTTTTAGCGCCTTGTGAGAAATTTGACTATCGTTTTGATATATGGATATATCGTATATTACGATTACATGGTAGGGAAAAAATGATTATTTTATGAAAATTTCTTTAGCTATCAAATATATATAAATACTTTTTTATAAAACTTTTTTTTTTGTTACGCGTTATTAAAACGGTATATGTATCACCCACTCTTTATATACATCGTAAATTATTGTCCCCATCAAATAACATTGCTTTACAGCGCAGTTAAATTTTAACCGATCGTAAACACCGAGTTTTAAATAATTTATTATATAGCCTCGTAAAATACATAGAACTAATGACACTGTTTATGTTAAAACTAAAGATATAGCCGTCCAGAATCTGAGACAATGTAAGTTTTACGATGTTTCTATTGAAGTTCTCAATTAATTTTAAGAACAGCGACATCTATGTTGCCGATGTGAAACTTCTTTGATGTAATGTTTGTAAATGTAAAGCTAAATGTGCTTTGAATTTGTTTAAATATTGGAATCTTTTAAAAAAAAATATTAAAAATCGAAATGAGACGATAATTTAGTTTCATTTTATATATCTGATGTGTAATATATTTAATTTTCGATTAATTGTAATATCATTTGTGTATGTAAAGAAAATATATGCATTTTCCTCATATTTCATATCAATATAATAAATACGAAAAAATGTTAGTAATAAGAATGTTGTCCAAGCTTCTCAGACTGCTTTACTACTACTTATTTAATATCAAATAATGATATCACTTCAATTTAAAATATGAAATCAACCAGAACATGTTCAAAAAAGAAAACGGCATAAATGAAAAATATCATAAATAAAACGATACATTAATTTATATATTTTTTTTATTTTCACTTTTTATTAATATCAACCGTCCATCGTCGTTACAATATAAACCCTTTTTATGGAAAAATCAAAAATAATATTAAATTATTTTGGCAAATCGTGTTCACCTCAACAATAACAGCTAGGACTCCACATGTATACATTATTTACATCTACACTAACAACTATTTGCTTTGTTATAAAAATATATATATAATACTAAAAATATATTGTAATAGAACGAATTAATCTCGAATTATGTACATTATTAATTTACAATTTACAAAAAAAATAATATTAAAACTATCATCATTACGTACGAGGTTGTAATATTGAGATGTTGTATCAGTTGAATTTCAGATCAAAATTATAGTTTGGCCACTATTGGCCTTTATCGGCCAGTGATGACGTCATCATTGGCCACATTGGCCAACATTCATAGCATCCAATGAACTACTATCCAATACAATCCAAAACTATTTCCATTGTCAATACAATATGGAACCAAAAAAATTGTAGCTAAGTGCCATTTATATAAAATATAGTATGTATAATTATATTAAAATGTGACCCACATATTATTATCACCTCGACTTAGCCGTATTTACAAAGCTTTTTGGCCTAACAAGTCCTTCGGTGGATATGTTTGTGTTATATGACGCTTATAATATATTATAATATATATATTATATATTTGATATCATAAACATCGCATAACAAACAACCGCGCCAGCCCGGTGGGTCTTTACTTATCTATGTATATATAAAAAAAAGGTTTGGCATTTTTTGTGACTGTATGTTTGTACCGCGTTTCTAACGTAGGCACTAAGGCACGTTTTTGTACATATATATGAATATAAATCGTATGGCACGTACATACGTCTGATGACCGTTCAGTCTTAGATCGTGCCGACCTTTGTATGGAATCATTGAAATAAAAATCCAATCTCATATGGAGAAGGTTAGAGCATTAATCACCACGCTTGCTCAAGACGGATTGGTGATTTCAAACTTATAATTTGGAATTATAAGTCCAGGTTTCACGATGTTTTTTCTTCATTAATCAGCGATGTCTTAATTAGAAAGTACATATGACTTGCACATTGGTATTTGCCGGGATCGAACCTACACCCTCATGAAAGGCCTTTGATCTTAGGCCACCACTGAGTAAAAATCTGATATATTATGGTTTAGCTCAATTTATTCACACTTGAACTCCTAATACTCTGTCTACGTATTCGTAGTCTTCATTATTCTTATATTCTTCATTATTCGTAGTCTTTATTTCGTAGTCTTCTATAGTGATGCCGTTATTTTCGTTGAGGCAAGGATTCTTACATTCCACTAGACCTCTCTCATACGAAATCTTAGCAGACCTTCCATCTGGGGTCCGTCTTTCAAGTTCCTCCCAATCATCAGATAATTCTTCGTCATCAGCTATAGTTATTGTTTTACTGCGAGTGAAAAACGCCATTTTTTCTCTGTAACAATTATATAGAGTTAATATTGTAATACCAATAAAATATATTCATAAACGGATGATAATAGTTCGTTATGAGACTACCGAAAAAATTTAAGTAAGGTCCAATAAAAAAAGTGGATTTAAATTCAAATACAGACATAGATATATCCATTGATTTGAATAACGATAGCTTGATACAAAAATCTACTATAAAATAATATTTCAGTAATTATAACTTTGAAACCACCTCGCAATATATTCATCATTTTATATTATCCTTTACTTTTTTTTTAATCGAAGGTGGAAACCGAATAGACGGCCTAGCTGATGAAGATAGTACCTTAGCAATGGACATACTCGACATAATTTGCTGATGTGTTGCCAGCCTTGATTACGGAAGAGGAGAAGGAAAAAATGGAAAATTAAGGTGTAGGAAAGGGTAGTTTAACATATCATTAACCTTCAATACATTTTATAGGTGGTAGAGCCTAGCTGTGGTCAGTTACTACAGCTCGAACATGGGCTGGCTCGACCGGGGAAGACCATCCTCTCACAGAAGATCAGAGTGAAGTAGTCTTTAGTGGCTGCGTTTCGTCCGTTAAGTGAGAGAGACGGTTGCCCTTTCCCTATTCCCACCCTTTCCTACCATTTCCTTATTCCCACCTCTCCCTATTCTTAAAAAACAAGGTTGGCAACGCATCCTCAACGAAGATGTTGCGGATGTACATGGACGGCGTGGACCTTACACCAAGTGGGCCGTCTGCTCGTTTGCCACCTTTGACATAAAAAAATTATATATAACTCACTTGAATGTAACTAGATCCGGTTTCCGGCCGCCCTGCCTCGACTTCCGTAACCTGAACACCTCTTTGCATGTCCTGGTGAAGAGTCTCGACACCCGGTCCTTATCAGCGGGCGCTGATAACAGCTTTTGTAGAGTTTCGTCCTCGGTCACCCATGTAGCTACAGCGGGGTCGTTTCGAGCGCAAGCCTCTTCCAATCTGTTAATATACATAATATAGCTATTAATATGTCTGCTTGGGAAAATATTTTGAAATTTAAGGATATGTTTGCAAGGAAAAATTTTGTTTTATGTATTATTTTGCGATAAATTTTCGCAATTTAGGGGTACTATGTGTTTGCTTGGAAAAAAATTGTGTTACCAATAATTGCCATCAATTTTCGCAAGTTAAAGGGCAATTCTGTTTGCTTCAAAAAAAATTGTGTTTTCTATTAATGAGCTGTCAATTTTTTTTCAAATTAAGGTTTCTTACTATATAGGTATTTGCTTAATTTTTTTTGTGGTTTTTATTAGTTAGATGTCAATTTTTTCCAAGTTGCGGATACTTTATAGTTGCTTAGAAAAAAAAATGTATTATCAGTTAATTAGCTGTGAAATTTTAGCATTTTAAGGATATTATATATCTGCTTGGAAACATTTCGTGTATTCTATTAATGAGCTATAACATTTTCACAACTTAAGGGTACCATTCTGTTTACTTGGAAAAAAATTCGCAAATTAAGGGTACTATATGTTTGCTTAGAAAAAATATTTTGTTATCATTAAATTTGTTGTCCAATTTTGGAAACTTATTGGTACTATATGCTATTACTTTGCTATCTTTACACAACTTAAGAGTACTTTTCAAGTTTATATATGAACTCTATATGTTCGAGCCAGTATCCTTACCTCTTCTTGAGTGTAGTCAGATGAGCGATCTCGTTCCTAAGGTCCGTGAGTCTCTCGTGTTGCGCTCGAAGGTCCAAGCTGAGGTCTAGTGACGTGCGACCCGCGCGACGTGACGGACGACCGGCGGATTTGGACCATCTGGTAAATATTAATATTATTAATATTCGTAGTCGCCTAGAGGTTAAAGGCACATCTCTAGTGCATCAGGGTGGGTTTGACCTTGGCAAGTACCAATGTGATGTCTGAGTCATATGTACTTTATAAGAGTATTCAGACACTATGATAGAAGGAAAACATCGTGAGGAAACTTTTTTTTTTGATGTCGCAGGGGAACTCTTTTTACGAGCCGTCCAACCGGCCTTGGTGGGGCCGGAAGAGCTCGGCCTGGGCAGGCCCCTACTCAGTAAACCACTGCGTATAGGATTTGTTTATCATATAATACTTGAATATAAATATCGCATTATTAAAAAATATATTTTTAATATCTAAGATTTTCACGAATATTCTTTTAAATAAAACCATTCTATTTTTCCGATTGATCAAGTGATTGATCATTATCACGGTTGCTACAATGTAACCCAAACGTCAGGAGTATGTAGATACAAAAAAATACATTATATCAGAAAAATGTTATTTTTATATAATAATATGTTATTTACCTTAAAGATCTTCTCTCCCTAACGCTCCTATCAAACGGTATCCCGAGAGAGGGCGGTCGTAACGTCAAGCGGCGGTGAGCAGACATCGACGAATCGGATTCAGAACGATTGAGTCTGGAACAATTATATTACAACTACTATAGAACACCCTGTATACTGCAATATCAATTGAATTAACATTAACAGACTGTATAATAACATAGTTTATACACTTAGTCTTTAATTGATGTATATATAATTATTTTGTGGAACAATTCTGAATGAATTTGCTCTTCAAATTACCTTACATACTTAAGATTTAGTGTAAATTTCAGTAACTACCCTCATAATTTTATGGATAGATTTTCATTTATAATTCATTATGCCACACCATGGTGACATATAGGGTGTATATAAACATATATACATATATATATATATATATATATATATATATATATATATATATATATATATGTGTGTGTGTGTATGTGTATGTGTGTGTATATTACCTGCATAAATACTGTCCCTTCCCAACACCCTGTTGCGGTGAGAACGTCTGAGATCGTTTTATAGTCGCCAGCGACTCTTCTGTGTTTGAGCTTACTTGTTGACTTTTTCTGTAATAAAATTTACACGTTAATACTAAAATTATTGTATAAAAAATAACCTTTATTTAATGGGTAATTATTTCTATAAATATTTAGGACGTAATAGTTCAGTTGTCATAATGACTTGAATCACTTAATATCTTAAGTTTAGGTTCAAAAAATCATTTAAATTATAAATTTCTGATATTACTGACTGCTGGGTAAATTTCGAAATATATATTATAAGAACATACTTGGGAAATAACACTGATATGTTAGAACACACACAAACACCAAAAATCGCTGTTTATTATATACTAAGTAACTTTACTTTTATGGTTAAAGTTTTAAGTGACAAAAGAGCATATTTCATTGTTAATTCTTCCATGCCATGCAACACTCATGCTGCATTAGTTCGTGCTGACATCCGCAACAAACTTTGTTATTTAATTCAGATCAACTTTATTCACATACACATAAAGTCGAATATCCTAAATACATAAAAAGTGAATAACAATCGTAACTCAAGTGCTTCAAAATCACAATTCCCATATTAAAACGTACCTAATATATACACTATACTATAGTACATCTACAATACTAAGTCCACACGGCCGGTTGAGCCGTCGGCGGCGCGACGATATTTGTATCTGTGGTCAAAACACACCTCGATATACCTATCTCGTTTCCTCTTATATAAATTATTCACCATTTCTCTCTTTAGAATTATTTCCGTCTCACTCTTACATATATGAGATAGAGATAGCGTTAGTCGCTTAAGACTTACACGTAATCCTACCCCTTATTAATGATGACATTTAAGATAATTCCTTAATCACAAGTATAGAAAGAGATAGCGCTTGTGACAGTTTGTGACGTCATAATAGAGTGAGATAGACATACCGTCTGTGCAGCTGTCTCGCTCCCTCCGGACAGAAGTTGCATTCTGTGTTAGTTTCCTTTTCCGCCGTGGACGGGAGGTATTCGTCCTCCAAATGTATGTCCTCTTCAGGAATGTAGTCCTCAAAGGAATCTTCCTCAACTATCTGTAGGTATAGAAAAATAAAAAATATCTGTAAATCAAATGTATAGAATATACTCAGCAAAAATTACTACCATATCACAATATTTCGTTTTTTTTTTTTATTTTTATTTCATTTTAGGGAAACAAACAATAAGATAAACTTATGGGATATGAATATACAAAATTACATGTATCAACTAAGTTATCAGCTTAAATGGACTAAATCAATGATAGATTTGGCAAAAATACAGCATATAACAAAGGAAACCTTACATTATTGGCTAAATAAACACTATTTTGTAAAAATTTATACAATATTAAAATTAGCAAACAAAATTTAGGATTCCAAATATATATCCTCCTATAGGGTTGTCAAAAAACATATTTTATAGTAACAATTATGAAGTAAAAAATCCTTAAATACCTGATTGAGTGGTTCCCTAGATTCTTCGTCTTCAGATGCTGAGTTATCACAGCAGTCAGCGTTACATTCAGCAGCGGCCATACTTTCCGGACCTGGAACATTAAATACATTATTATTTATCTGTATTTTGCCACCGAGACTGTATCGCCATTGGTTTATTGTATTATCTGTGTTAATTATTGGACAGATACGCTGGAAGAGATTTTGTGCTGTTTGAAATATTAAAATTTGTGAAATAATAAACTTTATATGTCGTTTCTTTGTCTACAGGTATGTGTTAAGGTAATAGATAGTAAATTGGGTTTAATTGTTTATAAGTTTTGTGTGTATAAGTTTTGTAATAATAAAACTCTTTGTCTACAGAGCAACACAATGATGTCTTTTATTTCACAATCGAAGATTGTATAAGCTTATAAATATATCATCATCATCATCATCATCATCAGCCTATCAGAGCCCACTGCTGAGCAAAGGCCTCTTCTCACATGAAGAAGATTAGAAACATGTATAAAGAATAAATATACATAATATTATGGATTTTTGGACTAATAAAAACCAATACTCATCTATTTAATGAACAAAAAATTCATACAAGTGATATGCTAATTTATATAGCACTTGCTTTCCGCCCGCAACTTCGCCCACGTGGAGTTCGGTTATATCGCGTTTCCAAGTGAACTTTTCAAAAGTGTAGGAAAAAAACTATCCTATGTTCTTTCTCAAGGTCAACTCTATGTCTGTACCAAATTTCATTGAAATCAGTTGAGTGGTTCAGGCGTGAAAGCGTAACAAACAGACAGAGTTACTTTCGCATTTATAATATTAGCAGGGATTATCAACTTTATGTCAAGAGATATAAGGTCGATAATCAACTGACCTCTGTTCCTAGTTAGTGTAGAGGTTTGGGATGATATGACAGTAGATTCATCTGAGCTCTCATCTCTCCTTATGCTTCTGAAGCTGAGCACGTTGTACCACTTCTGTGACACGCTGTCTGGGTCGAAATCAGCTAAACTGACTTGTGTACAACCCTGGAATAAAAGAAATTAATTCATACAATTATTTATTATTATTGATATGAATTTTTGGGTATAAAATGATGAATCAGGTAATCGCTCTCGTTGTTTATTCACATGGCACTCAAGGTTCGCACCGAATACTCAAATTTGGCTAAATTTCATCATACATATAATATAATTGTCATACTTTATTGACATGGCCATTCAAAATTCATGCTTAAATTTACGTGTGTGTAATGTGTATATAGATAAATATAGTTTGAGAGCAAGAAACAGATATATATCACATATGTGTGTGCGTATATACATACATAAATATAGTTAGGAAGAAAGATACAGACATATATCACATATGTGTGTGCGTATATACACACAAAAATATAGTTAGAAAGAGACAGATATATCATATAAGTTCGTGTGTATATACATAAATAGTAAGTGAGAAAGAGACAGATATATGTCACCACATACCAGACACTCAGCGCCAGCAGCAACATTAACTTGCAGCGTGCCTCCTTGCAGCGCTCTTTGCTGCAATGCTGCCCGTTGCTGCCAACGAAAGAGCAGCGTAGAGCCCGCCCATACTAACGGACGACTTGTAAATGATACGGAACCCCCACCACCCACTACTAGGGCTCCGCGGATACATCTGGATATATAAATAACTTAATTAGACTAAAATATTTGTTATTACACACTGTAATAATATCTTACTATCTTTAATTGAGTTCCAAATAATCTGGAGACTACTTTTGTGTTTTACATTTGTATGTATGTTCTCATGTTAGTGACTATGTCTTTTTGAGAATTAATTCTTTAAACCTTTTTTTTTATATTTCATAATGGTAATAGTTATACAGGGTGACTGGTGAATTACTATCAATATTTAAGGAGCATACTCGGTACATGATTCTCATTCGAATTATGTAAAAAAAATAGGTACTTAATTTTTGACCAAATTTCCGTATAAATAAATAAAGTTTGGACACGTACTCAGCCTTGCCGGCGCCAGTGTGTCGCTACTCCCCAACCCCCGCCCCGTGGCTAGCGGGCCATTAGTCGGCTATTAGTCGCGCGAGGGCCGCCATAAGGTCCGTACGTTCGTCTTCCCGCGCGCGCGCCTAGCGATCGATCTTACGCGTATACCTAATAATAATATGTCGTGTGTGCGTGTGACCCGTTATTACTTATTAGTAATTAAGTATGGCTTTTCAATACACAAATGCAGAATACTTGGACATGGTTCATGCGTATGCGCGTGCAAATGATAGCTTGCCGGGCGCAATCAATTTGTACCGGGAGATGTTCCCCAATCGTCGAGTACCTACGGCCAGCGTCATCTTAAACGCTAATCAAAGATTACGAGACTTCGGACAGTTCCGTGTTCCAACACATGCCCAAGGAAACGTCTTGTGTATGCTACAATGTATGTCAACAGAGAGGAGTTGAAATTAAAAATCAATAGTGCTTTCGAAACTATTAAAAGTGACCCATTCGTATTAAATCGTGTGAAAGACAATATGTGTAAACGTGCCGAACTGTGTATCACACGAGAAGGAGCTCGCTTTGAACATTTGTTAAGGTTAGTGTAGTTATGTAGGTAAATAGGTAGTTTAATGATTGACAATTGTTGTAAATAAGAATGATTCCATTTTTAAATACGCCGGAAATACCAAGATAGGTAAACAGTTCATATTATTTTTCGTGTCAAGGTCACACCATTTACCTAGTCAATAAATTGGTTGCTTAAACGAAAGAAATATCTTGGTATTTTTGCCTGTCCTAAGCCAGGATTAAAGTATGAAGGGAATTGGATCATTTTTGTTTATCTAAGGTCTAACACGCGGCGGCGCGCGGCGTTTGGATGTAGGTAAACTACCGCGCGATAACTACATATACCTACGTACATAACTGTTTTGTGTCGATAACGCAGCTAGGGTATCCACGCGATCCGTAATTAATTACATAACTTTTGGTTAACTTTACTTAGAAGTTTATTAATATTTATGTTATATTAATTTTTATTTTGTCATATATGATCGTCAACTACCACGTCCTTAAATATTGATAGTAACTCACCAGTCACCCTGTATATCAAAAAAAATTAAAACCAGTGTGATTTAGACCATACTTGAAGTAAAACTTATTTCGATTCTTCTGAATTTATTGATCCATCGATCCATTCAGTTACTTATATCTCCTTCACTTCCATTCGCGTCACCCGATCACACTTTTCCTAACGCTTTCATAGTCTTACCACCAAGCCTACATAAAGAAGTTTTACTTCACAAAATTACTACCATGGACTATTTTAAATCAGAAATCAATGGAATAATGATTATCATTATGAAGACATATATGAAAATTTTTGTTCCTGACTTGCCCTTGCCCTTTACAAGTGACCCTTGACCTTAAATGACCTTGACCTTTGACCTCTAGTATATTGTATATCACTCACACTTCAGTCCCCACGTCTATGTACAACGCGTGCAGATTCCTCGCCCGTAGAATTCCTATCTCTAATGCGCCCTCGTCTGAACAGTAACGCAATTTGATCTCAATTTGAGCACTGTTCACTGTAAAGGAATTATAAACACCATTAATTAATATAAAAGTAGCTATGTACAAGTTAATTTCTACCTTAATCTATATAGAATGGGGTAAAATAGTACACTTTGAATGAATCGATACAAATTCAATACAAAAAAATGTAGGTAGTTCATATTTAATCACACATTACTTATATATATAAAAATAGTTTTCCGTCCGCAGCTTCGCCCGCATGGAGTTCCGTTATATCGCGATTCCAAGAGAACCTTTCAAAAGTCTGGGAAAAAACTATCCTATGTTCTTTCTCAAGGTCAACTCTATATCTGTACCAAATTTCATTAAAATCAGTTCAGTTGTTTAGGCGTGAAAGCGTAACAGACAGATAGAGTTACTTTCGCATTTATAATACTAGTAGGGATGTGACTTTCGATATCATCTCTCTAATATATGTAATATAAACGAATATCCTCTATAAAACATAATTCAACCAAGATACAATACAAGTATATAGCTAAATATTTATACATATATATATATTTACATGTCAACCTAATATCGACCGTATTTCCATACAAATAAGGTTGACTCACCGCAGCCAGCCTCGCCGGCTTGCGCCGCTTCAAATACCCCCGAATCTCCTGCAACGGATTCATCACTCACAGCCGCTGATACCGATCTAGTGTTTGTACCTAGAGAAAATTATTTAATATTATTCAACTATTAGTAGGAATAAATATAATTTTCTATATATGTATATACTAGTAGACATTGTTTAATGAAACTAATATTTTCGGATTACTATGGGTATTTTTTTTACATACTCTCTTCAAAGTAATCGAAACGTCGGGAGTATGTAGTTTTTAAATAAAACATAATAAAATATGCGAAGTAGTTCGAAAATATTCGTTTCATTTAAATGAATAATTGGATAAATTTTAGATACTAATGAGATCAATTGTTGTTAAAATAATTGAAATAATTAGATACCAGATTCAAACTTAGGACCATTCTTTGAATATAAGGTTTATGTACTAACTAAGTAATTGGCTCTTGTATGGTACAGAAATTACTTATTTTATATATATGTAGGTTTGATGTATTAAGGCATCACGTCATATAAATGTTATTGTAATTAGTTATTTTTATATATATATGTTATATTTACCACTAGAGGAAGCGGTTGGTGGCGTTTCAGATATAGGAGACAGAGGCTCCGCTGGTCGGCCCGGGCCCTGCAGTTGTACTGGAACTATAAACATATATATTTGAATTAAAATTACTTAAAATATTACTATCTTTCTCACACACTATATCTCTCTCTTTTACTCTTTTGGTAGGACTTTAATAAACTACTATAATCACAATTGTTTATATATCATGAAAAAATCGTTTAATTGAGGACATTGAATAGACTAATATGTTTTAAGACAATAAGACACTTATAATTAATTACTTATACATAACAGTTGTGTAAGATTATTATAGCCTATACTATAAAGTTCAATGACCTTTCACACTGATATATCCTAATTATCCTACTAATATTATAATTGCGAAAGTTTGTTAGTGTGTGTGTATGTTTGTTACTTCTTCAGGAGCAAACGGCTGAACCGATTTTGATAAAATTTTGTATACAGGAAGCTGACGTCCAGGAATAACACATAGGCTGCTTTACATCCCGAATCCACGGGTAACACCGCGGGGCGCAGCTAGTATAATATATGTATATTATATACTAACTCGTTGAGAGTCCCGTAACTTCATTAATGCTTGTAGCGACGCCAATTCTCATCTCAGCTAGTTTTTCCTCCAATTCTTTCTGCTGTCGCCTTTGTCTTTCCACCTGAAGTCAATGGAAAAGTATGAAAAACCTGAAGATATAACACAGTGTTATAGAAGTCAGTGATGGCCTAGTGGTTAAAAGGCGGTCTCAAGCACGAGGGCGCGGGTTCGATCCTCGCAAGTACCAATGTGATTTTTCCGAGTCATATGTACTTTCTAAAAGTATTTAGACATAACTGATTAATACATTCCAAAGAGGGTTGATGTCAGGCAGGCGGCCGGTCGTAAAAACAATTAGCCAAAGTTATTCACAACATGTAAGGCAGACCCTGGCTAAAGCTGGGAAATTGCCAGGTAGAACATATAACATAGTGTTATAGTGTGAAAAGTATTAATGGAAAGTCCAAAGAAATTTCTTTGATGTACATGATTTTGAACGCATGGAAGTTTTGGTAGCTTAAGTATGGGACAATTTTTGTATGGTGATCATATTTTGGTGGTAGGTACCTGGTGATAAGATGGCGGCGGTGGTGGTGACGCTGAGGAGAGACTGCTCCGTGGTGATAAGGACGGCTGTGACGGCGAGCTGGTGAGAGGTTCAGGGTACGAACCCCGGAGTAACCTGGTGGTAAGTGGTAGAATATATTACATAGATATCTTATGTCTTATTATACACTTACAATATTTTAACTGAATGAATTTCGTTTCTTTATTAATATTTAGATAAGCAATATATGAAATAACAAACAATATATTAACTGCCAAAAAATGAATACTTTACTCAATATAAATTAAACCTACCTTTCAACTCGCCTATGAAGATCAACCATATCAATTGGTTTGTCCGCTTGGAAGGACGTAGCTATTTGTGGTCCACCGTAAATATCCGTGAAGCTTATCCCGGAACTTAATGAGCCTTTACTGCTAGCTGTTGACAGCGATCCCAAGCTGGAACTGCTCGACACTGATAGCGTAGAAGCTGATAAAGTCTTCAACTGTCCTTCCAACGCCGTCATAGAAGTTAAAGCGTCTTTAAGCTGCTGCAACAATAGCTGTTTCTCTTCGTGCAGCCTTAACCTATCAGCTATACACTTGTTGGACATTTCGAAAGCGTTCTTCAGATCTTGCTCCAATTTCTTGCATTCAGTTTGTATATCGCTCATCTCCTGTTTCGACCTCGTTCTTGGTGTGATACTCCTTAACTCTCGAAGTAATTGCTCCTTTTCTTGGAACAGTAGGAGTCTATCTTTATCTGATTCCGCCTGACCCGGTTGGACTTTGTCCTCCAGATCAGCAAGCTGTTGCTGAATTTGTTGAATTCTTTTCCTAGCCTCATCATATTGTAGGCGAACCCGCGCCATTTCAGCTAGTCTAGTGCCTATAGGTACTAAATCAGCACAAAGATCCGTTTGGGAAGCCGTGCTTAACTTCTCCTGCGGTAAACTTAAAGTGGACAGTTCCGGGGAAGCGTCACCTAATTGCAGCCTCGTTAAATCATCCTTTAGCTTTGCTAAAGATTGCATAAGATCTGCTCTCTCCTTCTCACCAGAAGTGAGAGATTTCTGTATATTCTTTAGTTCAGTCATAATAGCTTGAGCTTCTGTTATATTGTAACAACCTTGTTGAGCGCTAAGTTTTTGCTCTACCCTGGAATACACGGAACTTTATTATACTATCTGACAGACAATAAGGGGAAATAAAAGCTGACGTTTTGAGTCATCAATCATAGCTGACCCCATGACCTACGACCGTATGATCTACATCCAGATACGACCCAACGCTATTGGCTTGTAGAGAGAATATTTATATGATTTTATCCGTGCTTTGTTGGACGTTGTTGTGTTATTTTTAAGATTGGACAGATAAAGAACAGTTATATCACCTTAGTTTTGAACTCTTATGATACCTATGTTTTTATGTATTCCTAGTCAAATCATTGAAATATACTTTTAATTTAACTAGCATATAATGATACTTTAACAATTTTTTTAAAGGTTCAATTGACTTTTCTCAAGATATATTAGATAGATAACGCTTTATACAACGGTCTTTAAGTCTACAAATTTGTATCAAAGAAGTCTTTGGAAGATATAGAAGTACTTACTCAGCCAACGTATCAAAACCACGTCTCGCACTGGCTACTTCTGCCCTTGCCTGTCTCAATTCTTTCCTCAGCTGAGCCAGCCGACCCCTAGCTTGAGTGACCTCAACGCGAAGCTGGTCTGGGTCATGGCGAGAGGTCGTCGATGTTGTAGTAACCGATGTAGTTGATGAACACACTGATGATGATAATCATGATGAATTTAATACATTAAAAACACTTAATATAATGAATAATATGAACAAAATGTTATGTTAGACGGCCGAATGGAAGCAAAATAATGGAAGAGTATAAAATAATTAGGAATTTGTCAGCCGTAACTTGTCTTATGATTAAAAGAAATGACATAGCTGACTTTTAGGACATAACGTGACCTTTAGAATTGTATTTCTATTATATTATAGTGTCCAATAATAAGCTAGATATAACACACATAATTGAATAATTATCTACACACTTTCCATTTACGATCCCACCATACAAATATCATTTAAATCAAGATTCGTACCTTAATATGTATTTTTATTATTAACTAATCAGCTACATATATGAATTACTAGACAATGAATCACCAATATAATTTTTATAATATAATACAATTTATACAGGGTGACTGGTGAATTACTATCGATATTTGAGGACGTGATATTTGACGATCATATATGACAAAATAAAAATTAATATAACATAAATATTAATAAACTTCTAAGTAAAGTTAACCAAAAGTTGTGTAATTAATTACGCATCGTATGAACACCCTACAGATTAGGTATACACTCACACTCACACATACGCGTGTCGCGACGTTGTGTTGTATCAGCACGCCGCCGCACGCGTCCACACTTGAACACTTGGAACGTATCCACACTTTATTTATTTATACGGAAATTTTGTCAAAAATTAAGTACCTATTTTTTTTACATAGTTCGAATGAGAATCATGTACCGAGTATGCTCCTTAAATATTGATAGTAATTCACCAGTCACCCTGTATAGTGTGTAGTACTATAGATAGTTTTATATAAAGATATCTGTTAGCTAATGCGGTAGTGTTATGTATATAACCCAATATTGTGTAGACAAATGAAGCCATAAATGGAAATTTCTAGAAACTAGACTCACAGCTAGTCCTGGACGCTCCGAGTGTGGACAACGCGTTGTTGAGATGCTTGTATTCATCTTGTGCCAGACATAGTCTCTGTTTTTTGACATCGTACATTTCCCGTTTCGCCTGTAACAAATAATATATTATTATATCGTAATACTTAAATAAAGTAACAATATTTTAATCTTTATATTATTAGAATATAGGAGATCTCGTGATTTCATCTGAGTATGAAATCAGAAGTAAAATAACGTATTTTTTATTATGGAATTATGCTTAACGTTTAAAGATATAGGTTACTTAATATATATCACTTATAATATGGATTATTTGGCAGTCTATAAAAAAAATCCTTTAATCGTTGCTATCGAAATTATTACAAAGGATTATAATAAAGTTATACTTTTTTATTTTTAAAGTTATCATCAATGTATGTATACAGTTATGAAAGGAACGTACGCATGAAAAATTTTGATAAAAATATTTATAACAAAAATTAATCAGGCAGTATTTCATTTAAAAAAATTCAAATCTAAATATTAAATATTCGCATAGTAATAATAAAATACACAATATACATCGTGTTAAGTAAACAATACTTAATATTATAAACATCAGTGAGACATGTATACAATATTAATATTGTAATATTTAATACATTAATATTTTTCACATCAAGTTATAATATTATTTCAAACGTACGTATGTTCAAACATCTCACAATCTCACATGTACACTAAAAATCATTACAAACCAAATTAACGAACCATTAGAGCGAAATTCCTTTTATTTTTTGCTATCAACATAAATACGGTATTATGCTGAGCAACAACTTTTTGCTTGGAATGCGAACAAAAAGTATAACCTCATCACTCGTACACATATCCGGTTGTATCTCAAAATCAGAACTCAAAATTGAGCTGAAATAAATCGCGCTACGATAATGAACAGGCGTACGATGACTTACAACTATATAGGAATTAAAATAAAATTATATGTTAATATTTACAGTGAACAGTCGCAATGAGCCGGTCATCCTGCCGGCTTGTTGGAGTCGACTCCATGTATGAGGAGGGCATTGAGGGAAGGTTCCGTTTCTGCTCAAGACTTGGGTGGCAACGTAACCTTGATCCTCGTAATACGGCACTTCAGACACAGGCACTAGACGTACTTCCGCGGAACTTATCTGACGCACGGATAATATGTTCTCGTATATAGCCTCGTCCTCGAGATTCTGACCTTCGGGACACAAACGATAACCGTACTCGCGACTGATCTCATCTAGATTAGCGTATTCCGGATTCTTGCGGAGTTCGTCCAGATTTTGATACTGAGGCTCATCGCGGACTAGGAGGCCGGGAGGACGAATCGAGGTTGGATCTACACGGACTCCATACTCGGGAGGCTCGCGAACCATCCTCGCTATGTGACCCGAACCATAGGATCCTCTATAACACGTGTGGGTCAAAGAAGTCGTACGGCCGCGGAACGTGTCCAGTTCGGGAGGCGGTTGTTTGGACCACATAGCGATCGCCCGCCGCGACGGACACATCTTAACCCCCAAAAGGGCGCGCGTCGACTGGCGCGGGCGCGCGGTGCTCTGGCCGTTCAGTGGAATGCGCCCGCGCAGCCGAAAGAATGCAATCTCGGGCGCATTTCGGAGGTCGATCTCTCCGAAGGGCCCGCTCCCGGCTCCATCGCGACCATCTGTCGTAATAAGTTAGACGGAACGCGAGCCGTCCGACACCCTAACGGACCCGGCGACCTCGCGTCCCCAAGCGAATCATTCAGTACGGGAATATATTATAAAACACTATACAAAACGAATCATAGTAATATACGCATCGATACGGCCAAAAGCAATATTTCCGACACACGCAGGCGGCATCGCGCAAATTATTATTATTTTTTTCTCCTTTCTGAGTAAACAATTTACATGACTTAAGTACGGAATGCCTGATCCGAGATGTGGCCCATCTGGTGGCAGCGAGTTCAGGTAGAGGGAACATTTTTGTTTCGGAATTTAACACGCATTTGCAATCTCGTCCTGGCCAACTACTTAAATGTATAAACGAACGGTTTTCGATCCGACCATTTATTTCCGGGTGGGAATGATGAGATCTTTCAGTTTTTCATACTTATAATTGAGTACTATAAAGTTACCAGATCTCATTTTCTTTCATTTTTATACTACAACGACGTTATTTTTAAAATTAATATAATTCTTCTTACATTCAAGTTCAAGCTCAACAAATTCAACACACAAACGTCAAGTAATTTGGCCGTCTGCCTACATTCCTGAGGTGTGTCGATCTATTGTTTTTTTATTGGTAACAAAAATTCTGATAATACAAACATGTAAAGGCGTCGCATTCATTGAGATTCGAGACCTACTCAAGTATTTCAGGAGCGTATAACCCACAAATGTTATAAGACTAAAATAAAATGAGTATGGTACTTTTTATATGATTTTTCTTATTGTAGGAATCTGAAATGCTCGGGGGTTTTGAGCATCTGCCTCCCTTGGACCGGTTATATTTGCTCTCTCTAACACCCAGGGTTTCCCCATAACACTTTCTCTCTCCCACCCACAGCCGGCCTCATCGAACTAATTATTTTTTTCTACTCCACCTATCTAAGAGAAACGAGAGTAGTTTTTCTTTTGTAATAATAGTATTGTTTTATTGTTAATTAATTTTATAACATTCCGTACGACCAGCTACCGAGATGTGTTTATTATGGCGCATTATATTATTTTACGTCCATATAAAACTATGTAATGCTTGTCTTATCTACACATAACTTAACATCGACTGTTTGCTCGCAACCTTGTTACGCAAATAACATTGAACAGCGTAAATAACAAACCACAAATATATAGATAAATGTATATAATAATAATTATTAATTTTTAAATTAAGTTTTTTTATTATTTTTTATATATTCTAATAAAAGAGAAGTCTAAATCCAACTGGCTGTCTTGTTTTTTGATTGCATGCAGACACCAACCACATTGGATGCGATTAAAATTCCTTAGACGACTCACGCCCTGCCTTAGGCCCTTGGTAGATTGAGCTACCAACATAACAACTGTTACACAATTAACTTAGATTTTTTTAAGAATTAATCTACTACTATACTATGATAATAATTATGAAAAACAATAAAAGTTTTTCAATAAAAAACTTCAAAAAGAAACATGGAATATTATATTCATTTACAAAAGAAAGTAAATGTTTTTGTACACCATAAATTTTATTTTGGAAAAAAATGTAAGTCGCGTTTGTCTATCGAACATTTCGTATAGAAATGCCCAAGTATATACAAACACAAATGTTAATATCGCATGTTCTTAGAAGATAATAGCTATAAAAGCATACATCTGTGGAACCATGCGCCGGGAATCGAACCCACGACTACACACACATGAGCGAGACGATCAACCGTCACACCATCTGGCGTATACTGATACTATTGAAATATTCAATATATATAAACTGAATAACGTCATTAATAAAATGTAATTCAACCTAGCGTTACACACGATTATACTCAAGGAAGGTATAAAAAATAATAATAATAAATATATGTATGTATGTATAACAGAACGGCCCGAGGCGAGGCGGGCGAGGCGCGCGGTTTTTGAGTTTTCGTTTTTTTCTGTCCATATTATTAGTGTGCTGGATAGCTGCCGGTGTTACGGACCAGGAATGCGCCAAAGAATACAAAACTCAGATGGTGCAGTTTATTTTAATGACTTTTTATAACGCAGCCAATATTTTACATAGCGTACAGACAGCTATGGTAATTGGCTACGTAATTGAATATTGAAGTACATTTTCGTTATCATTAAACTGGTTGTATAATGTATATATGTTATACGAAATAATGCCGGGTCAACGAACTCCGCGCATCATAATAACTATGAGCTGTGTAAACTAATAAAAAACAGATTATATGGGATTACGTTTCTCCTTTTGTATAATCACATAGAATATTTCACGGGTGACGGGAATTATGAATAATTTTAATGGTCTACAGCTACTTGTTGCATTAAAAAACGATTTAATAAAATATCACTACCATATAGGATTCCATAAATATTTTCGACGGCGATCATGCTATCGGTTTTAATACTTTTACAAATTCTGTACGGTCATTAAAGAACCTAACTGCATTTTAAACTTTATAAAATGACTGGGGTCGAAATTTGGGACTATTAAAAATATTAAGAGAAGATAAGATTTATTTATTTGAAAGATATTTGTATATAACTTAAATAAATATAAATACATGCAAAAATGCCACAATATATGTACATCAGAATACTACATAGGTTAAACATATTATCTCTACTAATATTATAAACTCTGTCTGTCTGTTTGTCTGTCTGTTACGCTTTCACGCCTAAACCATTGAACTGATTTTAATGAAATTTGGTACAGAGATAGAGTTGACCTTGAGAAAGAACATAGGATAGTTTTTATCGCAGACTTTTGAAAAGTTCTTTTAGAAACGCGATATAACCAAACTCCACGCGGGCGAAGCCGCGGGCGGAAAGCTAGTTGTATATATAACAAAGATTTATTCAGTCAAAGCATTTGAACCAACGATGATAGATAAACATAACACAAAATACTCCTAGTTTTATTACTTATAAAACGTAGTAAAACATAGTGACTACCTGAGTCTACAAATATCTGTGGAATGTTATGAAAAAACGGAAATACCCACAGTCGGATGAAATAAAAAAAAGGTACATATTCCATGAGAATCCTTGCTTCTGAGAATTCGCGTGCTAGAATTTCTTTTGTTGAGAACGCTTTGAATACAATCAATGAATATAAGAAAAAAATTATAATATTTATTATAGAAATAAAAAAACAACTGCACTTTGATCCACATACTTAATTGAACATATAGAAAACTTTGTATCAATGCTTAAACTTCCCATTGCTTTTTTACATGTATTTTCACTTAAATAATAAAAAATATATACGTAGAATTTACTATAAGCACATTAAAATCTTTGTTCTCTAAGAAAAGAACGAGACTACCAAGTATGGAACTAATATAATTAAAATTGTCACCATGCATTACATATTAAAATATTTATACAATCTAAACTCTATCCCAACTAAGGGCATGACTATATTAATTATTGATACATTTATAACAATTAGCTATACATTTAACTGCGCCCACGCAGCCGACTGATAAATGACGGGTGTGTCTATCAACATATTTTATATCAACATTAATGTACACCGAGCTTTATATTGTAACGGATATTATTTATGACTTTCTATTCGTTATTCGTTATGTTCTATATATAGGGATGGCTGTGTGTGATATCGATAAAAAAATATCGACGTAAAGACGGGTAGTCGATAGATTTCGATAAAATCATCTTTATAGTTAAGGTGATATTGGAAGGACGTGGCATGAGCGAAGGCATGTTATGGAATAATATAACCCAAGTGCGTTTCCTTCAAGGTCCGACTCCGAGGTCGTTCGTCGGCTGCGCCCGCGCACGCGTTCCTTGTAAAAACAATCTCGGATTTCTGTTAGGGTGTCTACCATTTGAATGAAATATTAAGGACAATTTTATAAATTACATACATCTCTTTAATACTTATAAAATATATTTAAAGAAAAACATATAAACGATATAAGAAAATGTTTCTGAAAGAACAATATCTTAATTGTTACGCGTCAACTCAACAATGGAAGTTTTATCTCAGGTAAAACAATCGCCTTAAAATATAAAACAACAAAGGAATTAATTGGCGAAAGGAAATGCTTTTTTGACTGAACGTAATTAAGGATCCAAAAATATTCTTAAATAATATACTCGTAAAACAATTCAAATACGTACATTGAAAGGAAAGCGTAAAAATAATGTACACCAAAACGCGTAATACTAATCAGTTTTTATTAGGGATGTGTATATTTTATATGTCCAATAAGAAACGCTAACAAAAAATTTAATAATTATCCTATATGTAAATGGTTATGGCAACCCTATCAGTTTTACGGGTAACTCATGGAACAATGCGCACGCGCAGGCTGGGTCGAGGACGCAAACCTCGGCCTTCGACCGCCCCTCCCCCCTCGCACCACCCCCTCTAAATACCATAAACAGCCTCAACTTGCTAGCAACATTTAGAACTATATATATCCTTAATATTATGCCTGCCATAACGCGGGATAAGCTACTATAGTACCATTATATAACTAACAAACTATACCTAGTACGGAGTTAAACAGCATTAGTACAATCAAAATCAAACTTAATATCACGAACCTCCAAATAATTGAATATAATAAACTAACAGGCGATTATCGCATCAATGTGAATACAATAAAGATTATTTTGACATGAACAGATTAACTCCTCCGGGATGCTTTGGAATGGAATGCTACTTTCACGATCATAAATTGTTGACGACTGACATGGCCCTTTGTTAAGTGACATTCTTTCAAAGACTTTTTTTGAAAGTTAATCTAAAATTAAGACTTACATCCATATATATTGAGATTCCGTTCTATGTAAGTATTATTAATTAATTCTTTATGTATATGAGTTATTATTATAGTTATATTAAATAAATTTAATTCTATTTTAAATTCATTCTATATTTATTTATAGTGCGTTCTAAAGACGGTCTTGTTCTTTTGATTGCTATAAATAATACCATCGCTGTGACTACTCCTCACTATTTAATCTGTGCGTAGTACAGTAGCTGTCGCGTAAATATTAAATGAATTTGAACCTTATTTTTATGTGTATAAGATAAAAATCATCATGCACGTTAGAATACGCGGCTAACAAATAAACCCGTCCGGGTGACATTCCTTATACAAATGTCAGAAATATGGACTATTAAAATTGTAGTAGGGACGAAGAAAAAACACATAAACATGACTTATAATTATAACATGTATATATACTACAAAATAAATTATGCCTTGTCAGTGGTGGCCTAGTGGTTAAAAGGCCCGCCTCTCGTGCATGAGGGCGCGGGTTCGATCCTGGCAAGTACCAATGTGATTTTTCCGAGTCGTGTGTACTTTCTAAGAGTATTTAGACATCACTGATTAATGCATTCCCAAATAGGGTCGATGTCAGACAGGCGGCCGGTCGTAAAAACAATTAGCCACAACTATTCACAACATGTAAGGCAGACCCTGGCTAAAGCATGGAAATTGCCAGGAAGAAGAAGAAATTGAGCATCAGCTTTTAACGTTAAAATTCTCTAAATTACATTCAATATATTCATTCGTCTTTTTGTTCTGAGCGATCTCATAAAAGATTATTTTAACTTAACCCGATGTAACTCTATTATAATATACATTGACTTGATACAATAAAAAACACATAAAAATAGAAAAACTCACGTGTTTTATGGACATAAAATTTAATCAAATATAAATTCAATATTCATGTATTAATTCTGATCGTAGATAAGACATGTATATAAAAATTTAATTATTATATAAAATTGTGAATGTAGTTATAAGAAGCTATGGGATTCTTGATTTTACGACCAGCCACAGTCGCCGTGGCAGCACCATGTCGAAATATTAACATTTAAGTAAGCTTTTATGTTTTTTTAATATTAATTTATTTATTTCAAATCACCCATTAGTTTAAATTTTATGTATATCTAATAAAATCATACTTTTTATTGCAGAGATAATTTAAATATGTATGGTAGTTGGCCTGGAGGTTAATTTACGCTTCACATGCATGGGGACGTGGGTTCGAAACCTGGCGAGTACCAATGTTATTTTTTTCGAGTTATATGTACTTTATATGTAAGAGTATTTAAATACTACCGACATAGAAGGAAAACATCGTGAGGAAACCTGGACTTATAATGTCACAATTATAAGTTTGAAATTACCAACCCGTCTTGAACAAGCATGGTGATTAATGCTCAAACCTTCTCCATGTGAGAAAGAGGCCTTTGCTCAGCAGTGGGCTTCTGATAGGCTGATGATGATGATGATGGGAATATAAAGTTAAATATGGTAACGATAGATTGTAAGACAAAAAATATATATTTAAGAAAAAATATATATACCTATGTATATAGCAGAAGATACATATGTATATTTATTGTAATTTCTAGTTATCACGCAGTTAAATGAATGTGTTAACATAATAATCTTGGTATTCTTTAATTACTCTTTAGGTAAAGTTAAAACTAAAAGCATATACAGCGTGTTCAACTGTCCATGCTATTAATATTTAAATAAGTATAATGTAACGAGCACACCATAAACATGATATGTAAGAAAATAAAAAACTTCCATATAATTTTACAAGTCGAATGACTTATGTTAATTAACCCCCAATTTCTTAACACTCGTAATACATATATAATTTAAAAAAACAGTAGCAACTTGTTTTTAAATGGCCCGAGAAAATGACTACAAAAATGTTAATAACTATGTAGAATTTTTTGAACATGACACTTTTTAACTTCTGGAAATAACGTTTAAATTGTCATTGGGTGATTTAGAGTTAATCAATTGTAATTGGATATAACATAGTACAGTGTAGTCAGTTGGTAGTTTAAGTCAGTGGTGGCCTAGTGGTTAAAAGTCCCGCCTTTCATGCACGAGGGCGCGGGTTCGATCTGGCCCTGGCAAGTACCAATGTGATTTGTCCGAGTCATATGTACTTTCTAAGAGTATTTAGACATCACTGATTAACGAATTCCCAAAGTGGGTTGATGTCAGGCAGGCGGCCGGTTGTAAAAAACAATTAGCCAAAACTATTCACAACATGTAAGGCAGACCCTGGCTAAAGCTGGGACATTGCCAGGTAGAAGAATAAGAAGTGTAGTTAGTATTGAATTTAAATTTGCACTAGTATTGTAATTCGGCGTTGTGTGTAATGAGAATCTATGGCAACGATTGGTCGATGTGAAATATGAACCAACCCTAATTCACAGGTGATTTTTAATTAAATAAACTTTGTATAAAGCTTTGTTATTACTAAAGATTTTAATATATAATTGAAAGAAAATTAATTTTAATTACTTACTACATTTGTATAAAATTGTATTGAAATAAGATCATTTCGTGTGACAAATAACATATATTTACACGAACATCAAAAATCATATTATATATTGTATTGTACGATGTTATAAAAAAAATTAATTCATAAATATAGTCTAGGATCATTCCACTGGTATGTTTATAACAAAATATCATATTCATTTTATAAACTAAGATAATATTCTACTACCAAAATGAATGTATTAACTATGAATGCTCTGTATGTAGTGTAACGATCCAAACATAGAGTAAAGCTCTTAGGCTATAAACGACATCGCCAGCACGTATCATGTTTCACTAAAGTTCATCAAACACATTATGATATTAATTTACATCATAAAACACCATCATATAAACTGGAACAGCTTATTATTTGTACTATATATACATATATATTACTAGCTTTCCGCCCGCAGCTTCGCCCGCGTGGAGTTCGGTTATATCGCGTTTCCAAGAGAACCTTACAAAAGTCTGGGATAAAAACTATCCTATGTTCTTTCTCAAGGTCAACTCTATCACTGTACCAAATTTCATTAAAATCAGTTTAGTGGTTTAGGCGTGAAAGCGTAACAGACAGACAGAGTTACATTCGCATTTATAATATTAGTAGGAATATAGTAGATCTCCACCTATAATGATTATATAAACATTTGAAATTCATATGTAATTTTAAACATTCGTTAGCTTGGACAATGCCGTTTCATATTGAAACCGAATTCGCTACATTGATATAGACGATGGAATTTGGAAAGGAGGTCTTGTCAGCTTACTTTTACAGAGCATTTCAGTTATACCAACATACATTAGGATTCCGTACAAATGAATCACTGCATCGGAATCTGAACAGTAGTAAGGATTGAGAATGTTATATTGTATTGAATGATGCGACCAATATCTTTTTACATTCCAAATGCATGAGCAAAGTAACACGTGGCCCTAAAGGCTGGTTACAAACTTATTAATACATACAATAGGAGCTATATATATATATATATTGTATCAAAAATATTTCAAACCAATGACTTTCAAATATGTAAAAAGAAAACTTAATATATATTTTTGACTACAATATTTTTTCACGTACAATATAATCAATAAATAATACTTTTTTTTATTAAATTTTGTTAATCAAAACTAGTCAATAATCGTATTAAAAACTTGGACTGATGCTCTACAAATTATTAATTTCTAATATAAGACCCAAACATTACATAATATTTCAGTATATATATATGTAATAATTAATTTGTCGAGAGTCCTAGTCGCATGACTGTACACAGCCTTATTCTAATACATCTCAAGCCATACTACAACGATTACCAAAACGGTCAAAGAATGTCCAACAAATTGTTTTAAGATGCCTGCTATAAATTCTAAACGGGATCAAGTGGTATTACTAATGATTTATAAATGCATGTATGTCATCACGGAATTCCATATTATCTAAAAAACTTAAAAGCATTATAAATAATATGAATAATCCCTACTAATATTATAAATGCGAAAGTAACTCTGT